AGTGCTAACTTCATTTAGCTGATACATATAAAGTCACTAGCACAGTGGTTTTATTTAAATAAAGGAATTTGCCTCGCATGCAGTCATTTTTATTTTTCCTAAATCACCTTTTCCAGCAGGATTAATTATTATTAATTTAATATATTCTTATTCAAAGCAGCCCAGGGAGCTGGGGGGGGGGGGGGGGGAGGGTTTACCCTGTGTAGAAAAGGAGGCTCAGGTGTTTTTTTTTTTCCAAGCTAAACAATTCTATACTCCTGGGAATTACCAAGCATTCCTTTTGCTCACCATTTTTCCATAAATTCAAGGAATAGCCAGCCTGCACCTTGGGCACCTGGGCAGTGAATGGCAAAAGACATTTCTGCAGGTAACAAGGAAAGAACAGGGATTAAAAAGCCTGACCCATCTCACCAGCAGCAAAAGTAATCAGCAAATAGCTGAATTTTAAATAAAATCGAGATGTTTAAATATTTCGTATGTTTTAATAAAATGTTTAAAGTTATTCTTCTGCCAAATAAATAAATATATATTTTTTCAGCATCAGGGGTCAAAAATCAGTGCATGGGCTCAGGTTACTCTACACCAGAAGAAAATAAATAATATATTATTACTGTTACTGAAGACTTTTCAGGATGGGGCATATTCCTGCTGAAAATATTTATCCTGCTCTTCAGCCACAGGCAAGCAAAAAGAGGCACCCGAACAGTCCAACTTCGATAAAAATAAAAAGAAACAATAAAAATGAAGTCATAAAATCTCTTTCTTTGTCCTTCCTCCTGCTCCCTCCTGTGGGTGTGTGGGGATGAGCCTTTCCAGGTGTCAAATCCCCTCAGCTCCCAGCCCGTTTTCCCCTTGGGGACAGCTCCACTTTTACTGCTCTCTGAAAAGACACCATTTCACACGTATTTACAGGCTTTTGCTACTTCTTTGCTGATAAAACTGACCTTTCCCGGGTGAGAAAGAAAATCAAAGAGGAGCATCAGGCAGGATTTAGGAGCTCCCTTCTCCCTCCTCACAGCTCAAAAACACTTTTTGCAGCATCTACTGTAAAGGCTCAATTCTTTACCTCTGGAACCTCCAAACATCCCAGAGGTTTCATGATCTTTGCTTGGGAATGAAACAAGGAACGGGGCTCCCTGCCTGGGGGATCACTCGAGCACATCATCCCACCGGGTCTTGTTTAAAAGGGAGAAAAATCCTCCCCTCTTCTCCCTCACTCACCCAGTTTCCCACAGCCCCCCCCAAAAAAATGTCTAAATCGCCGTAAGTGACTCTGGTTTAGCCTTGGGAAACCATTTACAGAAAGTTCTTCCATCTCTGCAAAAAAAAAAAAAAAAAAAAAAAAAAAAAAAAAAAAAAAAAAAAACAAAAAAAAAAAAAAAAAAAAAAAACAAAACAAAACAAAACAAAACAAAACAAAACAAAAAAAAAAACTGTGGAGACTGAAGGAGGGATGTGTGCCAGGATGCAGCTCTGCCCACACTGAGCCCGCTGCAAGGGCAGGGCTGTGGTTCCCTCTGCCAGGAGAGGAGCATCCTGACAGCTCCAAGTATCATTCCTTAAATCCCTGCAGGAATCTACCAGGGGCGACCAGGAGGATGGTGCAAATTTTATCCTCTGAACGAAAAGTGTTTTGGCTTAAAAGTTTAGCGCTGCAGGAAGGTCGCCAGCCCTTTGGCAGCGGGATTTGGAGGGCAGGGCTGCAGGCCTGGATCTTCCAGGGAGAAATAATAATGGTGTAGATTGTAGGGATGCAGTGGGGTGAATGGGAGAGAAAGGGATTTGCAAGTTCTTGGGCAGAAATTCAGAATTCCTTCCTGGAAAGGGCGGTCAGGCATTGGCAGGGGCTGCCCAGGGAGGTGGGGGAGTCCCCATCCCTGGAGGTGTCCAAGGAATGACAGGACATGGCGCTCAGTGCAATGGTTTAGTTGATAAAGGTCAAAGGCTGGACTTGATGATTTTGGAGGTCTCTTCCAGCCTTAATAATTCCGTGATTAAAATAACCATTTAAAAAGCTTTTAACATCCTGGACCTGGAGTTAATTGGGAGTTTTGCTGGGGTCAAGAGCAGCCCTGTAAAAGCAGAGCATTCCAGTGTGTTGATTCCAGCAGGGAAAGGTGCTAGAGCACCTCCCCGAGGTTTTCTGTCACCAGGTGGTTCCAGTAGCTCAGCTGCTCCGACGGTGCCACTTCGTGGCACATCACGATTTTCTTAAAGCGGGAAACGGAGAACCTGATCCTTTCTGGGAAGAATGTCTGCTCCGAGTGGAGCTCCTCCAGCCTGATTTTTAATCTGGCAAGGCACATTCCTATGAACACGTCCTCCAGCTTAATGAAGGGGACGCTCTCAGAAACATTATAGATCTGACTGGCAACGTCACTGGATAAAACATATCCGGTCCCGGAACAGAAAGGCGGGTAGGTCTTTCCTGGGTACTCTTCCCTACTCACATACCACTTGCTCTCTCTTCTCCTTATGGGGTACTCATGCAGTTTTAAGAAGCCTGTGAAGAACCCAGTGGTCTTCCCCTTCCTCAGGAGCAGCTCGGTGAGGTAAAAAACGTTGACAAACACGTCCGTGTCGGTTTTCATCACGAAGCCGGTCTGGGGACAAAACCGGTGAACCCACTCCATGCCCATCATGGTCTTCAGGGTCAGGTTGTAGTAGGTGTCTGTGAAGTTCTTCTGGATGATGTCCCCGTACTTTTGGCCCTCAGCAGCGATGCCAGCCTGCTGGCCGGGATCCAGGGCGCTTCCCAGGAGGAAAAACGTCACCAGGCGCTTCCCGGCCACCGTCCTCTCCTTGCCCCAGGTCTGCCGGATGGCCATCCTGGCATCCAGGTGCTGGCACGAGGATGCCACGAGCAGGACGAGGAAAGGAGGGTTCTTGTGGCAGTCTATGTCTGGCAGCTGGGAGAAGTTTCCTTCTGTCCTCCTGACGGGCTCCGTGGGGAACAGGAAACCTTGGCTGTTCTCACAGAACACGCAGAACTCGCTCCAGTTGTACAGAAACCAGAAGCCGCCAGAGCTGAGCCCGAGGAGGCAAACAAACAGCCTGAACTTTCTGAAATCCACCTGAAAGCAGCAGGAAGGAACAGCACATTAACAGAAAATAACATCTAGGCCCTTTCAATAGTATCTAGCTCCTTTAAGTGCTGTGCACCAAACCCCCTGCCCAGGGGTTCGAAGCCGGGGCATCTCTAATTGGAATCTGCCCAGTCCAGGGCAGTCACCTACACTCATTTCTCCTCGTGCCATCCCCACAAGATGTTCTGCTGGCCATCAGATTCGCACTCCTGTTTCCTTCAGTCTTCCCCCTAAGCCAGCTGTATCCTCAGAAATCCACACGAGCACATCCAGGTTACCCCTGGCTGATGCTTCAAACCTCCTCCCCCACTTTCAGCATCTTACAAACCACGATTTAGGCCCTCCCAGGCAGAGTGGAGAAGCAGCAGATACGTGCCCGTGTCAGGTGACAGAGAATGACAACAAGAGGGGGTTTTTTACGTACCATGGTTCTCCATCTGAGCCTGTGTCCCAGAGCCAGCAGGTGCCCAAGGGGCAGACCCAGCCAGGTTCCTTCCATCCTCATCTTCCTGGTGTCCTGTGGGGCTCTTGCATCAACCCAGAAACTGCTCCTGATCTTTCTGCTGGAGGGGCCATGAGTCACATCTTTGAAGCTGGGTCAGCTGCTCAGAAAAAGAAAGAAAAAGTAAAAAAAAAAAAAAAAAAAAAACCAAAAAAAAAACCCACACAAAACAAAAACCAGCAGTGGGTCACATTATTTGGATGGTTCAGCTTGCGCAGAGTTTAAGTGACTCACTAGGGCATGCTGAGGTGAGAAGGGGTTGTTCTGTCCCCCTCTCCCTTTTTTAGAGGAAAGAGATCCAAGCTGTAACAGGAATGTTCACTCATTTACCCTTGTAAACAGATTAATGCGCTGCACTTCAGGTTACAAACCTAAACTGCCAGAGAGGAAAAAATTATCCAACCCAAAAAGGTCACGCAGTGACAAAAATATTGCACATCTTCACAAATCAACCTGGTGACAAGAGTTTAATGCATCAGCTACTCATCCCAGGAACCCACAGGCCCACCAACCACTGTTTCAGAGCAGTAGGATGGGGCAATTCCCACCTTCCCCCTTCTTAAAGAATTGTACCTGTCCTCCCATCTGAAAACACAGCAAAACAAGTTTACAATCCCTGGAGCTGTAGATTTCATGGATATTTGATCTCTGCCTTCTGACCAGGAATGTTCTGTGTAGACTCCCCCAGATCACATTAGTGCCCTCCTTCTGCTCGAATTCCCCTTTCTAAGCAACGAAAGGTTCTGCTTTGCAGGCTTTTAAGCCTATTTTAAGCAATTCACTAATGAATTTTGAAAATATTTCAGGAGTTCACATTTCTTCTGGCACTTATATTTAAATTAACTTTATCCTCAAACAGAGTATCCCTCAGATCTGTTTTTTTCTCACATGTGTAGCTCACAGTAATCTCATAATTAGCTTTAAAACTGCTTTAATTAAATTCATATGTCAAATTGTGTGTTTAAACATATGCATGCAGAAATACACATATATATATATACACAAAAGATTGTACAAAAATCTGCTCTACATCTTTTCTTTTTTCTTTTTTCTCTTTCTCTTTTTTTAATAAATTTAATGTATTGAATATACTAGACAAATGTAGTATCTAATAATATATATTATATAATAATATATAATATATAATATAATAATATGTTATTATATTATATAATATATATTATTATTATATTATATGTTATTATGTAATAATAATATATAATATATAGTATATCATAATATATAGTATAATGTAGTATATAATAATATATAACAATAATATATAATGTATAATAATGAACTTTAAATATATGCAATATATTTATTAATATATTACTAAAATCTATTAATAAAAGTTAATTCATGTTTATAAACAATTCCGGCTGTTTGTGGACTCTGTGACTCTCGTCGCTCCTTCCCACCACAACCATTTACGACTCTCGGTGCTCCCTTTCCCTCATGGCTGGGTCGGCACAACCTGCTCAGAAAAGATGCCGAGTTTTCCAATCCTGCTCGTCTGTTCCTGGTCCGTGTCAGGAGCAAAGCGGGTGTTGGGAACAGAAATAATCAGGGAATCACAGAATATCCCGAGGCCAGGTTGGATGGGGCTTGGAGCAACCTGTGCTAGTGGAAGGTGTTCCTGCCCATGGCAGGGGGTTGGAACTGGGTGATCTTTAAGGTTCCTCCCAGCCCAGCCCATTCTTGTGGCTCTGTGAAGGCAGTCAAGGTCTGTGATCCAAACCAGCCAAACCACACCTTTCTCTACTCTGGGAGTTCCCATTTCCATGAGTGGCACCAGCCTCCTCCTGAGTTCTGCCACGTTCAGCAGGTCAGCTCTTGGGTCTCTCTGTTCACACCACTGACCCTCGTGGAGCTCCTTCACATCTCACAGTGATAAGGCCGAGGTAGCTCCTGTGACCAAGCCTAGTTATTCCCCTAAAATTAATCTGACACCTCCTTCAGGCCTGTTAATCAGTGTTAATTATCTGAACAGCACCAAGAGATCAAGGCTGTCTGCCACATAGTTGAGGAAAAGCAATCTGGCCTGTGGCAGAGGGAGGTAAGTAGGTCTAGAGTCCCCCTGGGAAACAGATTTAAAATATCAATTAAAGGAAACACAGTTTTCCTAACTTTTCTGGGGCAAAGCTCCAGTTGTGCCACTGAGTTCAGTGGAGAGTTGGTGTTGCCTTTGCACTGAGATCTCACACATCAGACCAAAGTGCTGTTGGGCATCTGCAAAGAGTCCCCACTCTGTAAAGAGGCTCAAGCAGCTGTGACAGGGCAGATCCAAAAACAGGCACAACTGAAGTGCCTAAACTGGACTTACAACCCCAAACACTGCACAGTTGAAGTCAGCAGTTTTATTCCCCTTTTCCTTTCCTAATCATCGACAGTAACATGTGCCCTACCAGTAATAGCTGCTAACTCCAGATTTCCTTCGGAATAAAGCCCCTAAATTGCTCTCTCATAAGCCCTGCAGGACACAAGGAGGGATTAGGCACACACAGAGAACAAGAAAATGTCAAGTGCAGCAGGGAACATTTCTCTTTTCCTAAATGCAGGAGTTTCAGAGGAGCAGGGGCCAGTTTGGAGCTCTCAAAGGTGCTGTCTCTGGCAAGGCAGTGGCTTCAGCAGTGCCTGGGCCACTGTTTTTATGGAAAATGCTGCTTTTCAGGGGAGGTTTTCACAGCAAAGTGTACTAACAGTGTCCTTACCCAAATTGTCGAGGCTGGCAGGAAAGGAGGGTGGAAACCCAAAAAGGGTCCAAGACAAGGCAGGAGGTTTTTCTGCTGCCCTTACTGTCAGAGTAGGGAAAACCTTTGCCCCCCTGATACTTCTCACCAACCTCTCCTTGTCAGCCCATCAGCAAGACGCTGTTCCTCTGCTTCCATCACTTAAGCATTGAGTTGCTGAACACATTATTTACAGACAAATCCTCTCCTTGATTGGTTTCCCTCCCCCCATTTTTTTTTTTAATAATTTTTAGGGGTTTTTTTTGTCCTTTTATTTTTGCTGCTGCAGGGAGGGTTTAGCTTTCCCAGCTTCTCCCCAGGCTTGCCTTGGTGGCATCAATTAGACAACAAATAGAAAAGGAGAATTACTGCTATGGATTTTCAAATCCTACTACGTTGCCTGGCTTATGCTCTGTCATTATGTTACTAATACCCATTTAGCTGATTGACCCTGTGACTCCAACAGCAGATTGAATCTTCTCTGTGGAATGCTGGCCTGGTTTTATTTACCTTTTTGGGTTTTAATAAGGCAAGAATAAAAGATAATTACAAGAAAAAAGGTGAAGAGTAGAAACGAGTCAAGTTTTGAAAGAGTAGAAATGAGTCAAGTTTTAAAAGAGTAGAAATGAGTCAAGCTTTGAATTTTCCAGAGAAAAAAAATATTAGTGATATGTTCAATTCTAGATTATTGTTAATCCCAGTGAAATGCCATGCACATATAAATTATGACATATATATAGATATATGCATACAACTGTATTCTTAGCAGTATGGCCAGTGCAGCCTGAACACTGGTACAGTTATAATGAGAAAAAAAGAAACATTTTTTGCAGCAATCAAAGGAAAAACATGGTCAAAAAGAGGGACACTGTAATATAAATTGGTTAAAATTCAGTAACTGAGTAAGAGTCCCTGAAAGTTTCA